TGTGTGTGTGTGTGTGTGTGTGTGTGTGTGTGTGTGTGTGTGTGTGTGAAAGTTAATTTAACGTCAAGTTAATTGGTATTTATCGACTTTGTTTAGTGATTTTAAACGGCTTAAAATTGTTGCCAGTTGCTTTGATGTCATGTTGTGGATCTGCTGTTTTTCAGTCGCAATTTGCATAAACTTTATAACATATTTTACGTACGTATGGCCAGTTGCAACGTATCATAAGTGTGCATGCATTTATGTAAAAGAGAAAAAGAAGAAGATAAAAAAAAAAACAAATAAAAGGAAAATTAAAAAACATCAAATGTAAAACAAGTAAAATGGTTGGCTTCAAATTACTTATGAAAAACAAACAAGAAACAACAACGGCAACAACAACAAACCATTGTGACCTACAACAAGGCATTTGTGTCACTTATGCGAATAGTGCAACAATAGGCATTTTCTTCATTATTTCGGAATTCTACAAAGCGTGCAGTTACGATCTATCACATAGTATGGAATTGTATCTTTCGCTCCCTCTCTCTCTCTCTCTCTCTCTCTCGCACTCTCTCTCTTTCCCTCTCTGGTTGCAAGTGTGTAAGTTAGCGTCTTATCGTGTGCGCATTATTTCTTAGTGTTTGTATATTTAATATTTTGTGCACTTCATCGATTGCAGTCAGTCGGCAAAAGTATGAGCATTACTTATATATGAATGTTGGCTTGTGTTTAATTGGTTGCTTGATTTTTTTCCGTTTGCTGTCTTTTTTTCCTCTCATATATCTTTTTTGTCTGCTTGAATTGCCTGCTTACTTGCGTGCCTGCCTGCCTGCCAGTCTGTCTGTTTAACTGTCTAACTTACAGACTAAGCTTCGACAAACCGCGCCATAAGTTTTTGCTTCATAAGCATTTGCTCATTGACCCCAAAAGGTGAAGCTAAATTGTTGCTAGCTCTGTCTGTTTCTGTCTTTAAGTGTTTATGTGTTTATGTCGTATAATGGCACATTTAAACATTGTAACATATTTGTGCTGTTTCTTTATTTGTATAACCGCCGACGCAGGACACAGCATGCTAGATCTTTTATTGCGTTCGCGACATACAGAATTGCGGTGACTAGTTACTAGTCACTGCTAAGACTTATACATATATTCTCCATTCAGAACAGAATCCATAATCTATTTAGCCATGTTCGTCTTTCCGCCAATAATCTTTTAGAATCCAACCGATTGCAAAAATCGAGGCAAGACCCTAAGAAAAATTCTATGCGTGAAATCCATATCTGTATGTCCGCCTGTTTATGCCGGTTGCAAAAATAGAGATTTAAATACACTGCCTAAAATCAATTATGGTAATATCTTAATAGAGAACTAATTCTTGAAGTTGTACGCTTTTATTTCATTTTAGTGTTAATTGTGTTTGTGTGAGCGCATATTTATTTTGACTATAAAACGCTCAGTTATCTAAGCCGTGTCCATCTGCCTGTCAGCCGCTTATTGAATTCCAACGGCAGCAAAAATCCATATATAATTCCATTCTTCTGTCCGAAAAATAATTGTCCAAAGCTGAAGATTCGTAGAATTATTTTAAATCAGAAACCACAAGTGAAATATGAAAATGAAGGGGTCCAAAGGTAAGGATTTGCAGAAGTATTTCGAACTGATAGCCACAAGCCAAGTTTGCAAATGAAAATACTTTTCCAAATACTCGAAATTAAAACAAATACTTACTTAAAGCGTGAATTGAAAGAGTTTTGCACCAATAACTCCATTATTTTTTGTGTACAGGATTCAGCATTTGGATTCAAATTTTCCAAATTCATATTTACTTGAGCTATATCCTGCCAAGACAAGCCAATAAAGTGAATGCTTAAGCTGATGCTTGATGGTATTCGAAATTCGTCTTAAGACGATTCTAATTTTCTTATCTAGTTTTTCTTTCTGTTTCGTTCATTCTCCAAATATCGGAAATTGTTGCTCTCAAACATTAAATTGCATTAAGTAACTCTGTTTTTTTACATATGTTAAGCAATAATAATAACAAAGAATGAAAAAAAAAAAAAATGAAAAAAAGAGAATTTAAACCTACACTCATTCCTTCAAACAACTTATTCCATTCCAATAAGTAATTGTTCT